ATTTTAATCAATTCTAAACATTTGTGTCAATATTTTATAAAAAAAAAATTTTAAAATGTAAAACATTTATAATAAAATTAAAAGTAATTTTTAATTGTTTTAAAATTATTTGTGTAAAAAAAAATAGCAGAATGTTTTAATTTTCTGTGTTCAATAAATTTTTAATTAAAAAAAAAAAAAAAAATTATAAACTGTTAATGCCTGAAATGCCTGAGTATTCAATTTAGTTAAAAATTAAACTTCAGACACTTGTTAAAAAATTTTTGTAATCTTAAAATAGGCTTATATTTGATACTGCAAGAAAAACTTATTTAGAATATTGTATTCATTTTTCATAGTTTAGGTTGAATAATAAACATTTTATGAATTTTATATTATAAAATAATTTGCAAATTTTGTTGAATTTTCTAAAAATGTGATAACATCTTTAAAAAATATTGTGACTGTATTATATTTTCGGTTATTTTTCAATTGTTAAACATACAATTTATGACAATTTATAATAATAAATTAATACCTAACTAATTTTCAAGGTTTTTAATCAAAAATAAAGATAGCATCATATATAAATCAAAATAAAACTAAAAAAAGTTTCAAAATTTAAAATTTCTTTAAATAAAAGCCAAAATATTTTGAATAGTACTAATTTATTAAAAGAAAAATTAAATATCAATGTTTGTATAGATAGTTTTTTGATAGATCATAAAAGTATTATAAGATTATATAATTATATAATGATGTTAATTGTTAGGACCTATTAAAGAATAATAATACAACTAGAATAATTTTTATTGGTTGCGTGGCTATAGAACCGTCTAATAGTTGGTCACCAAATCAAATAGATTAAAGAATAATTGTATCTATAAAAGGTTTTCTGTGGAAAACAAATTTATATTTGAATGATTTTACTTTATTAAAATACAACTTTTAGGTGCGCGCTAGTGTGTATAAAGTATGAGCTATTTTGTTTATTAAATAACTTAGTTTAAATAATATTACACTTAATTAACATTCAGTATTTATTAAAATTTACACAATCGTCATAAATCTATAATCAGTATATTATATTTATAAATATAAGTGAAATTTGGAAACGAACTAGGATACTATAATTACTTAGGATACACAAGTTGATTCACAGTTGTTTTACATTGAAATATATTTAATTTCAAAAGAACTAGGTCATAATTCATAACCTTGTTTGTACAATTATTATCAATTTTAATTATTAGCTTATGCCCGGTAATTATTAAAATATTATATTACGAGTATATACATTTTTCATTTAAATAAATAATTTTTATAGTATAAAAACCATTATAAATGTCGAAATTGTTTAGACTCGACTCCTCCTTACCTTGGGTACACCACTTAAATTGATAAATTTGTGTGGGGATAATGATAATTATAACACTTATAAATTATTATCAAAATATGGTTAATAAAATAATATTTTTGGTTATACGTTAATTGAATTTTATAATAGATCATTAGCGTAATTTCAGTTTTCAATAAACTCAATAGAGTAGGTTAAAGGTTTTGACCAGTTCAATTAGGCGATTAAAAAAAAAAGAAAACTGCTCGCAAGCACACTTCTACTAACATTTTTATCAAATTACCATTTTCATCTTAAATATTTTAAAATTAAGATATTTTTTTTTTTTTTTTTGTAAATTCGTTTGATGAATCTATGCTTTTGTTAACAAATAACGGATAAATAATCGTGTGTAGTTACGAGTGAGGTTTAATATAATTGAGTCTTACATAACCTACAAGAAGTATTTTATTTTATAAAAGCTTTAAAGTTATAATAGTTTGTGATAAAATTTAATGACTAAATTCTTTAAAATGAATGGTTAGGTATTGCATATATTATTTCCAAATTCTATTAATGAAACTGTATTATAAATATTTATTTATTCCTTAAAAATTTAAAAGAATGATGTTAATTATTTCATTTTTGTTACTATGAAAATTGAAATCAGTATAGATATAGATATAGTGGTAAAATTTTTAAGGTAATTTAATAAATATGCTTTATAATGGTATTAGATATACTTAGATAGTTTTGACAAATCATAATCATATTATTTATGAGATATGGGAAAGATATCTACGACACCGGTGTAGCTATATTGCCTGTCCTGGACGCCATGTCATCGTAATTCATTATTTACGTATAATTATTGAAATTTATCATCGAGTAATATTTTGCATCGGCATAATATTGTACTTATGGTTTACAAGGTAATCCGGTATCTTGTTATCCTAAATTTTTTTTTGAAAACAGTGATCGTCTACCATTACCTACCACACATAAAACTATAATTTACAACTTATATAATTACATATTAGTGGTATCTATAAAATATATTGTATTGTTTTTAAATGGGTATACTGGATTTACGGACTGTATGCTAAATGCGTGTGATTCGATATAAGTTTTTGCTGCCGGTTTGTTTTTCTAAGCACATACAACTTTCTTTCTTTTTTTTTTAATATTGTTTCTCATATTTTGAGTCTGACAAGATTTGCCACGGGAATTCGTATATTATTGTACGTCTGACAAAAAGTTTGAAAAATATTTCAAGATGAAAAGTAATTTTGTTTTTATAATTTATTGTTATTTCACTACGGGCGATTGACACGTGCGCGCATATAATTAAACAATACCGGCATCATATCATATAAATAGAAGAATGGAACGAAAACGTATCAGATTTCTGCGCAAAAGCTTAATAGGCACATCAATTATTATCAGCTTAAATTCGTATTAACGTCGTACGGATGTCATTACTCATTACGTTTCGGGTTTTGTTAATTAAACTGGATTGAGTTTGGTGAAATGTCACAATAGTAACATCATATTCACGTGTTAGTGTGGGCGTGTATATTATTCATCACACAAAACCCATCAAAGTTGTATATAACATGCGATTATAGTATTATATAAACGAAAACTCACAGGATATGTTTTGGGGTAGGTCTAATCCACGATGAACGCGAAACACCGTGGTGCAACGTCCAACTGCGTGTTACAGTGTCATCTATGAAAATAATTGAACTTATGAGGCGGTTAATTGTTTGGTCTTATGGTATATTCAATGTTATTATAATATAGAGTTTTAATTTTCTAAATAGTTATTATAAATGAAATTTGAAGTTGTGTAATAATAAGTCTCAAAAAAGAGAAAATATTATTTTAAATTTATTTTGATTTTACGATGGATATACTGTTTAGCTACGTCGTATGAAAAAAACAAGTAGAAATGATAACAATTGTGCTGCGAAAAAATGTACTTTACAATCGTGTATCGTCGATAAACTTGTACCCAAGACGTGTTACAATATTATGTTCTACTTGTAGATCTAATATCTTGTAATTAAAAATTACTCAACCGACGTTATAAAGAAGTGTAGAGGGATGTATAAAAATATTTAAGTTCAAATAAATTTTGCATTACCATAAGATTTTGAGGTGAAATCTCTAACGTACTGATGTACCTATCACTTCGTTTTAGGTTTTTAAGCATCATTTTAGAACACTATATTTCTGTTATGTCCATCCATTGGTTTTTAGTACATATAGTTACGATTGTCGAAATTATGATCTTTATTTATATCTATATTTTCTTGTCCATAATAGGGTTATAGAAAGAATTAAAATTTATTAATTTTAATTTTAATTTTAATATAAGTTATATAATATTCATAGTTTAAAAAAAAACTAGGGATACATTTAATTCGAGCCTTATTAATATAAACATTTTAATACTGTAGTTGAATAAATAAATAATTTTTAACGGTTTTATTCAGAGAAAATCCACACAGTCAGTATTAAAATATATAATAAATGTGAGTAGATTTATATTAGACAATTTAAAAAATAAGCATCACAATTTAAACGTTACCAAATTCTTATTGAATTGTTCAAAAGTTATAGTTATTGAGTTGTATTAAAATAAATTGGGAATTTAGCACGCTTTTGAAGTGTGCTTTTCTAATTTTTTTGATGTTTGAAATACTAATATATTATGACTAATATTAAAGAAAATTAATAAAACACAAGTCCAAATCATAGTTCTTTTATTTTCGTTGTTTAACTGACATCCGTAACCCGTAAAAATTGTTTTAGTTGAAAGTTCTGCATAGTAGGCAGAAGCCTGATCTGCTTATAAAAAGACAAGTACACGTCAAGTTTGAAAATATGGAAATTATCCGCCTAAATGTTAAGCAGTGGCTGTCAAATAATTTGGATATGATGGGGAGGGATGAGGCTAATTTTTTAACATGCATTTTTAACATTTTTAACATAGTTTAAGAATTATAAGAAAATTATTAATTAAAAACATTAATTAAGAAGTTAATTGTTTAAAAAGTTAAGAAGTTAATGTTTGAACTTTAAATTGTATTTAAATTAATTTAATAAATCAGTGTTTTATTCGCTAGTTCATTTATAGTTAATATTAAACTTGGGGCTTAATATTTTACAACCCGACGATGAACAGCCATTATACCAAGTTATCGAGGTGGCTCTAGAATAACATGATAATTATAGAATTTATAATAATAGTAGTTTTAAATTAATATTTTAAGCATATTATATTAACTATAAAAGAAATGAGCAAACCTTTAAAATGTTATATTTCATACTTTATGATATAAATGTTTTATGTTTGAACTTTTAATGTAATAATTATTTTATTCATACAAATATTATCTTTTAGCTTGAAACATATTGTATAAGCATAATATTTACCTCCATCGGAGTTTATTGTTTTATATAACTATAAAAAGGTGAATAAATATTCATATTTTATCAGATTATAATATACATAAAAAAAAAAAAAATTATTATTGACCATCACTGTTTTTATAAAATTCATTAAAAAAGCGCTTATGCAATTTATTATCATTTAAATCAATGTAATATGAAAATGTGAATAATTATTATGTTAATTATTTTTTTTTTTTGGGTTTTTTGTATAATATTTTTGTATCCAATTATTTGGTATCGTGATTGAGACTTGGGAGGAGTAGTACAATAATAAAAGCCGACGAAGTCGTTTGTTATTTTTGTCGCCGCATTAATTTTTATGATATTGTTAAAAATTAAAAATCACGACAAAAAAATGACAAAAGATTGTATGCTAATCGATCTGTTTATGATGAATAGTGAACGCTATTTGCGACTTTGCGATGGACCCACTGCAGTTCTTATGTTGTATGCGATTTACAACTATAAACCGATTCGCCTGCGCGTTGTTCGAATTATTACGCCGCGTTCTTGGTGAAAATATAGATCGGTCGGCTGGCGCTTTACAAACATCAAGATGGAAAAACGGAAAACGGAAATCGGGTATACCCACCAGATGATCACACTCGCGGTCAACCAGCTTGTAGCTCCGCAAGTCGACCATCTTGCTTTTTTCGGTCTTCTTGAGCGGCAGCAAAGTGTGCTTGCCAGTCTTTTTTCGCCGGGCATCGATCTTCCGGTAATACCGGGTCACATACGCGTTGTCGTGTTCGATGTCCGTTAGGTATTTGTGCATGTAGCTCTGACTGCTGCGAACAATAACGACGGTGGAATACAACGAATTGTCGGAACCGACGAAACGGACGCAGCACTCACTCCAAGAGTATTTTGAGGAACGAAAAGGCCAGCAGACGTCGTATACACACGAACACGAACTCGGCCGTCCGTCTCTTCTCCCGGAAGTCTATCATCATGTCCCGAGTCATGTCGTAGGCGTCACGATATCGATCGGGCTGTGTGTCATGACATAAAAGCACGAGCAAAAACACGAGGTCGGGTGAGTTAATCTTCGCGTATACATCAAATATCACATTATCATATTAATATTGTTGTTCATGCCACTGCATTTAAGCCTCGTATTTCTCATCGCACATAATACAATAATAATATCACGTTAGTATCACCACAGCACGTGAGACAACGCGTATTCGTATATTTTAATAGTAGGTACTAGGTAACTACCTCCATATGATATTTCGAGCGTTAATCAAGGGTATGACACACGACGCGTGCGACCTTAAATCGTCAAACGGTTTTCATATTACAGTGACGTGTTCGCGTGGATTCGCGCCCAGTTAAGCCACGATCGCGAAACGATATTATATTTAGTGAGAAAACATTACCACGGTAGCCCCGTACAACACCCTTGAGCCCCTCAGCCCTCGGCGTTCAACGTTCAACGCGTTCACCTTACATCGGGGACGCAATATATAAATCTTTGCGGTCTGATTGCCACTATACGTTTATCGCACAGGTTAGGTTTATGCGTACGCATATTATTATACGTTATATCACTGGCACGTCATTGCGCGTACATATTTTTTTTAGCAGCGATGTTAAGGTTTCTGAAATGCACGTAGACACACCACACGCGGTTTGCGCGCATTATATAATCGTTAATTGCGGTAGAGCCGCAATGAACTCAACCTAGGTATACTTCTATGTGAATCGCAGTCGTTTCGTTTATCGGCGAATTTTGTGCCGCCGCCCGAAAAGATAAGCCACCGGAAAAACATTATGACCTCCGACCGTCGATTGTGATGTTTGAAAGCAAACGCATCTTTATAGCTCAACCAACCTACAATATAGAATTCGCTTTCGCGTTGTTCAGGAATATCTCTATTTTAAAATATTTATAATTATTATAAAAATGAAAAAAATCTACTACGTAGCGCTGTTGTAACACAGAATTTTCTTATCGTCATATAATTTATTGTAGGTAACTCGACGGCGGATCTATCTTTTTAAATTATAATCTTTTTTTTTTTCATCGAATGATTTTCAATCATAAAAGTCAAATCAATAAGATATATGATACGAAATAGATTTTTATAATATTATTATGATGTGATAAATACACCGGAATCATTTAACGTTTTAATGGCGTAATGAATAGATGTAATATTAATGATACATTTAAACAAAATACGTACGAGTGTTTGTATGTGTTTCGTAATATCGAAATGTATTGTAAAAATATATAAATTTACAATGTCTGATAATAACTTGATAATTTTTAGCTTTTGTATTTTATACGTTTTGATAGCAGTTGGTTATTATTTACTGAGAATATTATTGTTTTTATATTTGGTGATTATATAGAAATTAAAATCAAATAAAACTCATATTATTGTGACAAGTTTTTCTTAGTAATTGTTTACGCATCTTAATATGAATAAAAATATATCCTAACGCAGAAATACCTGTGATCCTGTGATACGAAAATATAGTTTCTATAACGAAAATAAAAATGGGTTTTTAAATCAACCGATGATTTTGGCGTTTAGACGCTTAAAACATCAGCTGCTCTTAATTTCATTTAAATTATTATAATCTCGTGGTGAACGTCTCGGCTGCAGCAATTCCACCGACTACTATTCAAATCGGAGATGTAAATTATGCATGCAATGATAGAGACGGTTCCTTTGGGTTATTGGCGTGATCGAAATTTCCAGAACAAGAGCAGACATTTTGAATAAATAATCGCGTTTTTCGAAATTCAAAGAAAAAGTCTCCGTTCACTTTCTACATTCCATTCATTATTTATACAGATACACATAGAACATTACTGTACATGTTGCTATATGTTGCTATATTATGTACCTTACGTACATTGTAGTCAATTCGTCTGGCGAATTATGGACGACACAAATGTTTTTCTCCGGGTGACTGTAGATGTCATTATGTGTGGCTAAATTATACGAGTCAATGTTTCCGACTATCTATCCTACCTCATTCGACAAATTGCACACACACATCGAACCTAAGCGTTGTTATTTATTAGGATTTAGCTCAGAAAAAATGTTGGGGTTTCTACACGTGAAGTATATATGTATAATATACTGTATGCATTGTGTATCTATTTTTTCTACATATATTTGCGCTATTTGTCGTAAAAAAGGTTTGTGTATTTGTTTCTTGTCAATTCCGTTTTTTGGAGTGCTTAGCTGCTATACGAATACGGCGCTTACGTTAAATTACACACAAATGAGCATATATATGTACATAAGATAATATTGCATACCAAGTGATATATTTAACGTACCTAAGCCACTTCTTATTTCAAAATCCATGCATTTTTGCAAATATTTTTTTATCATTTTTCTTTTTAACTTTTTTTTTTTAGTGACTACATACATTTTTAATCTCTGATCTCAAAGCAGAATATTTGAGTACTTAGGATATGTAAAAATTGAATTTTGAATGATCAGTTTATAAGATAAGTATTAAAATGTAGAATCTATATTATAGATTGAATTGGAGTGAGTACCCCCTACGAAAAATGTTGGTCCACTGCATCGCTCATCTAAAGTTTAAATACTTAAAACTAATTTTCTGAAATTTGATTTTTATGCATAAAAATACTCCGATTAATCTTTTGTTTCGGAATATAAAATTAAAAACGCAAGTTGTCAAAAAGAAAAAGAAAAATAGTGAAAAGGTAATTTTTTTTTTTTTAAATGTTGTTTCGTAATAAGATTATGTAAAAAAAATATTTTTAAAAATATTAGAATTTTCTGAATGATGAGAGTTTTTCGTTAAATGGATTATCCCGTATAGTCGAGCGCGCAACACGAGCAAATATTTGGACAGCTTAAAATAATCTATTATTTATTATTGTTTCCGACGGACGGTGGTTGGTCGTTTGGATGAATGTAATAATTATTTTTTAAAATTTAATTTTAAAACTTGTCGACTGTTCGCGCGTAAACGCAGTAGGCCAAGAACGTCTGAACAAGTACGCTATGCAATACTGGGTATTTAACAAACGTTTAGACTAGAACATTTTTTAATTCTCAATCATAAGATAAAATGTTTAATTTTTTTTTTAACTATTGTGAGAGTGACTTATTCGCCTTGGTTTTTTTTTGCAGCAACTCGGCGTACTTATTAGCGATTTAGATTGTTCTGAGCAAGCAAATATAATCAAGTCTTATATAAAATTCAGCTCAAACAATATATAAAGCGTACAAACTTGATGAAACAGCCTGTCTCTCGTGAGGTTGTATCACCAAAATGTGTAATGACCATAGGCGTAACTAGTCTTTTAAGTGGGGGGGGGGAGGCTTAAGACTTACAAATGTTTTATAGCAAAATAAGGTACCTATGACAATATAATTGCACTTACAGAGTTATAAATTTTATTTTATATTAATTATCTAGAAAAATGATAAGTAAAATTAGTTTGATTAATATTTAATAATGTATAAAAATTCTTTGTGTTATCTACCTGAATGTCATAAAAATATGAAATGTTTATTATACCTAATATAATAATTAATAATATTCAATATCAAAAATTGTACATATAAAATTTTTATAAGTATTAATAACAGAAAAAATTAACGTTTCATTGTTTTTGTCTGGAAATTTTATCCAAAAATTCAAGAGAAGCTTTAAGAATTTAAAAGACTTAAGACTTTAAGAAATTCTGAGGTGCTGAAGATCACCAAAACCTCCCTCTTAGTTAGCCTATGGTAATGAATGACTTCCCCACTACCCACCACTCCTATACAGACTTATAAATTTGATTTAAATATCAATAAAAAAATATTATATATTATGCTATAATTTGTTTCAAAAATGAATAATATATAAGGTACGGTACATATTAGCTATTTGTAGTGGTTGTATTGTACTAAAAGCGTATATTATGCGAAAGCAGAAAGTAATTAAAAATGCATTTTGTCTAAATCTTGGAAGAACTAAAATACATCTCAACGCGCCTCATATCGATAATGAAGTCGCGTAAGTTGCTTTCGCTATACATAGAATTGCGGTTTAACTGAGTGCGCGAACATTACCATTATTTTCACTTTGTTCAACTTGTAATTGACTTTTACGTGCAGGAATTCTCGTTTTAATTCATCCTTGGACTTTGTCAGGTAAACGTATCCTTTACCGAAACCGGAATTCACTGATTTTCCGGAATTGCACACGTCTCCACCACCAAATACTGCATCACGATAACACATTAATATGGTGTGACGTAGGTAAGTATAAAATAATCACGAGGGTCATACGTTTGAACTGTTTGATTGTAAATTTTCAACGTTGAAAACTTGATTGTAAATTTTTTACGTTAAGAAATTTTAATATTTTTATCTTTAAGTATGGTAATAAATAATAATAAATCAATTAATTCTAAAATTAAAAATTTATTATTATTCTGAATATAGAATATGCTATATTTATTATGCGTTAGTATAATGAAAACATTATAAGGAAGTAAAATATCCTTTTAACACATTTTTTATATAACTAAAATTATAATACTGTATGCTAAGTATTAGTATATTTTATCTGACACATGTGTATTGAATACTTTTAAGTTTTAACAATAAAATTATTACAAGAATAATGAAGTAAACGTGTGCTTAATTATTAAAAAAATTAAATAAATATTGTTTTAATAATGCTCAAATATTCTATCTAGGCACTAAATAAGCAAGTAAATAATAGTCTATACTTGTATTTGGAAACAAAATAATAAAAAGTGATTATTAAATATTTGATCTACTCTCTTTAATAACTTTATGGACAGTAACCCATAGTAGTTTCATTTTTATGGTAGAGATTTATTAATTCCGCCGAAACATCCTGCAGGTTTTGAAAAAAAGGTATAATTTATTGGATCCACTAGTTACCGATTCCATTGGGTACTGTTCATATAGATATTATCATTATTTTTATTCCACCAAGTCTTAAATTTATATAATCCAGCCATAAATTTTAGACTGCATTAATATTTTACTAAATTGTTTATTACAATAATTAGTTTATAATACGATTCATAAGTTAAATATTTTTTAATGTATATTATTATGTATTATTTTATATTGATACAATGTAATGTATAATGTATTTATAAAACTTATAACATGGGTTATTTATATGATAGAGGAATGTCGTACAATAAATTTAGAATAAAATAATTAAAAAAAATACCAATTTCCGTGATGTTATTAGATTAACATGTTGTGGACAGTTTCAAAACTAAATGTTTGTACAATAATATGATTGATATTATCTATGTCATGTGGTTTTAGACTCACAGATTTAACTAATATATAAAGTATGGACTGAAATAGGCATATGAAATTATAAATCATTACGGACTTAGTCTTGTGATTAAAATTTACTATTAAATTTAAATTATAAAATTACACATATTTTGAATTTGAAAAACCAAGGAATATTTCAGTTGTTTGACAAATTAAAAAACATAAAAAACCATCAGTTTTGATTATTTTTTTTATAAAATGATGATAAATATTGAATCCTGCTCATGTTCTATGGATATTTTAAATGAATAATCTCAAAATAATTAGGCATCCATAAAATATTGTATGATAAATTCAAAGTAATACAAATTATAATTTTAATTATTACTATCCTGTGGAAAACGCGTTAATACGATAGTAACATGACACACGTGGTCAGTGGCTTAATGTCGGCCCAGAAAAGAGGTTAATGGAAAACCGCATACAAGGGAACATCAAATTTAGATGTACTATACAAGCATATAGTTATAGAGCTGTGAGAATCAGTATAATTACTGCGTCGTAACAAAAATTATTATGACAAATGTTGCATAATTATTATTAGATATCTACTCGTATGACTCAATTTCGTGTTTCTTAATCACGATGTACGATAACTGATAACTGACAAGCATACAAAAAAGATGAAGTTTATTCAAAACTTTACTCACGTGGTGCAAGATTGCAGACGAAAGTGACTTGCATGGGCCAGCACAGGGCCCAGTTCACGGACCAGTGTACAGAGTTTTTGCATTTGTCGTAACTGTTCTGAAACGCTGCCTTGCATTTTTCATCCGCTCGGTCGATGATGCCTGCAAATGAAATTAAAAATAATAATAATAATAATAATCAAAATTACGATTGGAGAATGTAAAACAATAAGTAGTTGACATTCATTGAATCCTTTGCACATCAAAATAGGTAAGGAACGTTTGACTCGGACTTTTCTGAAGAAAACGAATTCAGTCGATAAACGAAATGTTTGTAAACGTATTAAATGCCATAAAAATTGAATTACTGCCGTACAGATATTTCTTAGCCACCTGCAGTGACCAGGTCGATACGTCAACGAATAAGAATTACTCCATCGTCAGCGAGGAAAAATTCGAAAATCAATTTAATAGTCACACATCACGCTAACAAAAAATGTACACCTACACGGTTTGTTCCCGTGAAAACATTGTAACAATGTAGGCGTGCAAATTTCGAAAATCGATAACTCTTTTTATTTTGTTTTAATATTAGATTACGAATTTGTTGAAAATTATTGACGAATAACGACCATCAGCTAGACTTTTGATGTTATCCTCTCGGGCACGTCGTCTTGGATATAACTTGATCTGTGCATTTGAAACTTTGTTTTTTCTTTCCAACTCATTTCAAATATACTCGAAAAAATTAGTACTTTGCGGATAGATCGTATATTTTGCTAAAATATACTATATAAATCATTTTTTTTTTTTTTACATTGCACTCATAGATGTTGATATTGTATATTGTGTTCATTTCGTTTCTAAGAAAATTTAATTTAAAGTAATGTTTCAAACTTTAAAATTCGAATACTTTACTCGCACTGTTATGTTGTAGAACACGACAATTTTTTTTATCGACTCGGCGCAATCGTTGTTTATTGTTTTCAGTTTAACGTCTTAAAACTCATACTATTGTTAGTTTTTTTTATATTGCTACTTTTAAACTGCTGTTAGGACGACAATTTATTATATAGTTTACAATCCTCATTTTATATTGAATAAAAAAGTAATCAAAGTACAATTATTAGATTTAGATATCGAATTTTCATTCTTCGGCTATTACGTATATAAATTGTTATATTATAATATAATTGAACCTATTTTTGTTGCACACACTCTGTGAAATATGCACGGATTCATGCGTTCCGCGAATCTAGTATAATCATAATATCACTGCATACTTCATCTATATGTTTACTAACCTTTGCACTTTCTGTATAATTTATTTCTGTACTTTATTTCTACTTCGCTCGGCTCCGGTATCTTGTACATATTTTTGGTATGCTTGGACGATTTTGCGTTGTACATATTTGATGGTCTCTAAAACAACAATGTTACAATGAGCTGCTACCGAGCTTAAGTCATACGTAATGTAACATTTCATTAAGTTTTGTTTAAAAATAATTAGATCGCGACGTAATATGTTTGTGATATATTGTATTAATTAATCAAATGCTAGTGTTAAAAGAGTAAGTAAATGCAATCATATAATTCACAAAAGATGATGAATTTTATAAGTTTTTAATTTTTTAATTGAAGACAGAAGATAAATAAAACATTTTATGTAATATAATAATAGTTTGTGAGATGTATCCGCTAAATAAAAAGAAAATACTTAATAAGTAATAATAAAATATTATTTTATACATAACTTGCTATATTATAAATTTATAACTCATCATTGTGGGTCACGGTGTTTTTATTTTTTTCTACTTTAGTGCCTAGTAGGCACTAGGCGTTAATTGATGAGAAAACGAGTTGAAATACGAGTTATCTAACAATATTGTAAATCCTAAGATAAAAAATCTAGAGTAATGGGTAATATTACGTATGTATACGAGAAGTAGTAGGGCTTAAGTCAGTTTTTATCAAAATTAAGGAATGAAGTTTTCTTACGTAAATTTTTGCTTCTTGATTTTTATCACGTTAGTTTTAGTATTGAATAATAAAATACTTTATGAAAAATTAAATTTAAACATATTGATCTAGGTCAAAATTCGCTTCTCTATAATGGAATAGGATTTAAGTCTAAATAGTTTAGATTTAGATCCTTAATCAATAATGCTATACACGATCTAAACTAAGGGTCTGTTTTACATTTAAAAACCTTGTAAAAAAATATTGGATTTAAGTAGAAGAGTTTCATGTTCTAGAGTAAAGATTTTAATAATGCTATTTACTATACGTAATATTTAAATAGCTAATTTAATGTTTTTATAAAAGACAAATATATTATTATATATTTATATGGTATACATAATTTTATTTACTATCAACATTATTGTAATAGATACTTAAAATTGTTGTATGTAATGAAATTAAATAAAAAAATATGATATGGAAATTTCGGTTTTTGCTTCTCCTGAAAAGTTAAAATGTAGGCTTGCCTTTTCAGGTGTAGAATACCTATAGATATAATAATATTATGTTTATAACCCGATAAATGTGGAATGTTGACGTGAGATCAATGACAAAATGTGTACCGTTTGTGTTAGTTAGATTTTGAGTAATGGAATTTCGTTTTATAGTATTAATAATATGCCATAACATTTTTATATAATCAAATAAAATACGTCAACGCGATACTATAAATGTTTTTAATTTTAATTTTTAATAGTGTAGAAAAACGTGAGGATTTTTGTTTGAAATCCGTAACCTGTCGTAAATAAAATATTTAATTAAATATAAAAAGTACCTCTCTACACGTCATTGTAGCAAGTTTGCTTTAATAATGGCATGCACATACGATATTTTGAAATTGTATTTACAAATTAAATGTAAGCATAATTTGTAGATCTGGATAACTCGCTAAAGTTATATATAAATAACTTTATTATATCTGTGTGTGTATAAACTGTACATTATAAATATAACATAATCATTGAACCATAAATTATTCTGTTGCCGAATCTCCACTTTTTGATTTAAAATGATAAAATTGGTTTTTATAATGCTAAGACGTTAAAACTAAAAATACAACAGCTACTCAATTTTGCTGTTGAAAATTGGCTGAAATTTGTGAACGGTTCAAAATTTCAAAAGTGATTTTTATTATGTTCATTGTACACAATATGCATACAGGAAAAATACAATATTATATTGTATATCGCTTGATTAATTTTTTTAAATGTTTATTGCTTGAATGGTGTTCAAGAGCTTTTAAAAACTGGACATTACAAATAAAAAAAATGCGTACAAATCAGTCCGAAATTATACAATGATAATAAAGTATTACTTATTAGTTAATATATTGTTATGTTTATTTTGTAACGAACCATTTGCAGATCGTCTAAATAGTCGTTTCTCTCGTGTAGTACGATACTGTCACTGTCTGATTCAAATTCCTGTCGGATCGGATCGATCACGTCGTTGATGGAATTTATTGTTTCTTTTATCTCGTTTGTTTCAGCCTGAAATTATTAACAAACGTGATGACATGTTGACATTAATTCATAACCATATAATCTTATAACAACATAGCCATGGTATGTGTAAAATATTTTGTGATGGTGATTAAAAAATAGTTTTCAGTTATGACGTTTATTTTTTAACGGATCCGAATAGCGATGATTTAGTAGTTTTTGTAACAATCGTACGTAGGTAAATAATATTATAAAAATTAAATAGGTAGTAAAATTATAAAATATGTTATGTGGATGTCAGTTATTGTAAAAGTACTTTAATATATAATAAACTTTTAGTTTTAGGTTTATTTTAATTATTTTTTAGCATTGCTGCATTAATCAAAAATAAGAATTCATAAATTAAATTAAAGTTTATTTGATTTTACAAATTATTTAACACTTTATAAAAACTGCAAATTTTTAAGTAGGTGGAGTATAAAGTAAAAATCGATATTTTTAACACGATGTAGTGCAAGAATAACATTATGTAATGGTGTAACTAGGATTTATTCAAGAGGGTGGGGTCCAAAAAAATGTATTTATTTACTGTTTTTCTGTTCTATTCCTTAAATAATACATACATTTTATTGCTTAATTACCAAAATTATATTAATTAATAAACATATTAAATTTTTTAATTTATATTTACAATGTATGTCAATTAATTATTATTATTATGCCAGCTAAATTATGGTATAGTCATTAGACATAAGTCTTAATATTGATTTAATCTATGTATCAAATTCAAAGTGTTATTAAAAAAAATAACACATCTATCTAATAATCAATCTAATCAATACAATTTGATGAACATTTCAGGGTAACTTAAAGTAATAAAAATAAATACTATGACATAAGCCAAGGGAGGGGGTCCACCACTAATATAATGACATATTTAACTAAATAAATCATAAATCATATATATATATATATATATATAATTAAGTTATTTTATTTTTAAGTTAATAAATAACTACTTCAAAAACAAAATAAATTAGTTTGAAAACGTAATTAGTAGGTGGTTTTATTCTATGAGTTAATAAAAGCTCATAATCAACATTCTATTAAATGATCTTTTTTGTGATAAATATTTTTTGGCTTTTATTAACAATATATTTCACTTCAAATGATTTATAGTATAAAATGTTAGAGTTTGAAGAAAATTAATTTATAATATTTTATAGCGTATATGTATATTGTATGTATAGATTATATAAAATTCAATATCTGCATTTTGATGAAAACATATATTTACTGGAGATCGATGTTAAATAAAAAATTTGAATTGCGTTCGACGAACAATTATGTTTTTTTGCGATCATTTTCGCCTTCAATATTATTTCCTTGTAATATTCGTACTTTATCATAATTTACATGATGCGTGTCATGCAAATCTTGTAAAATTCAACAATATAATTTTATATTTTACATTGTTTTTAGAATTTGAGCGGAGCGACAAATAACCGGGGAATTGGTTAATAGTGGAATAGTACCTTTATTATAGTATATTTCAGAACGATGGTACAGAAAAATATAATATTCATTTATTTAAGGATTACCTATAAGCAATTTTCTACTCATATCCCAAGACAATAAGTCATATTGTGTATAAAGCGTATAATATGTATAAATCTATATAACATATATAAAGGAAGCATTAATAATATTTACTCAGACTCAATTTAAATAAATAAAATGACAAAGAGTTTAAATACAAAAAAAATCTTACAAGTAAATAAAATATATTTTGTAAATAGCCAGCGAATTCTTGATTTTAAATTATGCTTAATTATACATTTGTAATTTGTATAAGTGTGCAACTATCAAGACATTGTTAATATATTTTTATTTTTATTTAAAAATATTAATTTAGCCATAGGTAGTTGAATTAATTTCAACATTTTAATTTTATTTGTACAAGAAAATATAAACAGAATCTAAATGTATTGTTGTAGTACTTACTAGAATAACAGTTGACATGAAAATTACGACAGAATATACCATATCGGATGCTGGTTTTCTCGATCACGTATCTTACTCTATCTTAGATATTAGATCAAAGTATCTCTAAGTAAATTACAACAATTGTTTTGCTTCGTTTCAAAATGTGTATAAACGTCTTTATATGCGAATTTTAATGAAAAGTACGTTTACAATAATAAAGTATTCATATCATAAACAATGCAGTAACACAGTATGTGCCCTACAAGGCTACAAACACAGCAAAACATTAATAAATCAATGACAAACGTAAAATAATTATCGATAGACGACTTGGAATTAATAATTTTAGTGAATTAAAAAAAATGAAAATAATCTATACTGGAAGACTCATACTATTATAAGTTTTTTTAAATGGAAATTTTTACCGACGTTACTTTAAAAACTACAAGAATATTATATATTTTAAAACATTATTGATATATTTCTTGATGATTTTATTTAAATAGTGAAATACTGATTTCATAAGTAACTACAGCCCCAACGTTTAAATTTTATTATAACAATCAAAAAAATGTTTAGATTTGTGTAGGCAATTTAAAATGTCGATAGACCATATAGTTCGTTGGTTCGAGTAATTCAATAAAAAATGTATTCAATGATTACAAATCCTATTTCTCTGTATTATAGGATATTGTACTGAAATATCGCTGAAATCTGCGTATTAATGTTAGTAAATTTTGAGTTTTTTTTTCATCTAGACATACTGCAGATGTAACACTGACTCAAGTTAATGGTGTAAATAATCAACAAAAAGATGGAAAAAGCTCGCGTTTGCGTTTACACATCACAAATCAAAGGAGCGGTTTGCTTAATTAACTGACAGTAGCAGAAAGCTGTTTTTGTGGTTTAGAAGAATTTTTTTGTGCGCTGGGAAAACGTTTCGTTCATATTATACTCCGATTTTGGACTTACGAAATGCAGCGCATTGTTTCTACGTACATGATTTTTTATTCAATGGCCGCCATATTTGTGGACGAACAAACATTTTTCAATAATCTACATAATAATATTATGTCATATACGATATTATACTTACGTCTTACGCATACATTTCATACTGGAGATTAGACCCGAGGCTTTGTATTTTTATGAAATTTTTGAGACGCGTTTGTCGCGAACGCTTCCTCCGAATATTTTAACGTATATCAAACGGAATAATAATGTATATTGTGTAGTGCAGTGGTAATCGTATATCAAAGGGATAAAAACCCATTATTCACTAAAGAAATGCATCCGGGCCGAGAGCCAACCCAGAATATTTAACGTCCGTTGTACTTGGTTGTACTTTTTGTTGTATTTTTTTTTTATATTTTATTAAGTTCTCGGAGAAGCTGGGATATTGGAATCGTAGTTGTAAACATAAATACGTAAATCTTATAGTATAGGACTTTATGTAGGATTGTATTGCTACTGTGTCTATGAAGTTTTCACTTATATTATTGTTATGTTGTTATAATAATATATCTGATAGACATAAACTTGTTGGTTACAACTTTTTTTAAATTCAACATACAAAAACTATTTTATTGTGAGTTTTTTTTCTGAAATTATACGCGCGCACGATGCGTGAATAAAATTATATTTGAGCTCAAAGGCTCTATAATTTTACAGTATAATGTGTAGATATAATTTACAAGTCATTAAAGAGGGTTAAGTACTTCTGAGAAAAAAAACATTAACCAAAAATGAATTATAATTATAGCGAGATATTTAATTGCATTGTAACTTTGACAAATACACAATCATCAAAGAATATTGGTTTACTAGGAATAAAAAGTAATTATTCTGAATTACGAACATATTAGGAAAGTATAAAAATGGTTACCGATAAATTATATAGTGTTTTAATAAGTTTATTTGAAATAAACGATAATTTCATGTATTTAATAGAAACAAAAATAATATTTTTCATCAATTTATCAATAGAGGTGAGAGCAGTGATTCGATTTTAAAAATTCGTTATTTTATTGAAAATAAAGTGAAAAATATAATTTTTATCAATAATTTTGCGTTTACAAAAGTACATACTATTAAAGCATACGTTAGATAATAATATTATTTGTTATATTATATCAATAATATATGGATTATATCGACTGATTTATTAACTGCTTGTGTAAAAGTTGTATGTTTACAAGTTTAGTGTTTTGGGTAAAATTGATTAAATGCTGATAATTAAGAAGTATTAAATTAACAAAATTAAATCAGATTACCTACTGAATAAACTTTCATAGAGGTCTTACAAAAAAAAACACGGTCTGGACAGAAGATCAATCAAAGTTTCGCACACATGAGATAACCACTGACGGTAGAGACGATTCGAATTTTACACTTAGAACGAGCAGGTGGATTAAATTATTTTCTGTAAGTTCAGTTTAGTCGATTTTAGTTTAGAAATTCTCGGAAAATTTTTTAGCCATTTCGGTAATGATAAATGTTTTCTTTTTTTTTTGTATATAGTGCGGATAATATTCTGGTATAAACTACGTAGCACAATATCATTTGCACTGTAGAAGTATTAAATATTATGTTTACTGGCAAACGATTATTAATTTATTAAAAAGCTTCCGTCATATACATAAGCCTTAAGTTGACTCTTTTTAGTGTTTCAACAAGTATGAAAATATCAACATTTGGATGTATCGATTTCATTATAATATAATAAACAATTTATTATATACTTAATTAATATTTTTATTACATAGTAATAAAGTTACTATAAATTTTTATAAAATATCAATAAGAAAGATATTTGTGTTGTTTATATAATAGTTGTATTAAATTCAATGTTATAATAAACCACGGACAAGCCTTCTGTCACTAAGACCTTTGTTCCGAATGGAGTTTACCAATTGCGCTTAAAATTACTATTTTATATACCAATTGTGCTCTACACATTTTAGGGGTGGTTAGATTGATTGCGCTCAAAACATTTTAAAGTATTTAATAAAAACTTATTAGTTAGTTATAATTATATAATAAATTAATACACACATTAATTTTGGTTAGATTTTAAAAACACCGTTTCACTTTCATCAGATAATACATTTTAAGGACACGATTTAATTGTAAACCTCCACTTAATTCCATTTTTTGATTTGGTACATTTTTGAAACTTAAAATCATTGAGAAGTAATAACGGTTTACCTTTTTCACTAAAGGTTTGCTTAAAACAATCCATATTGTAATGTCAAACAACTAATACTAAACAAAAAGATACAATAGTAACGGCTATATTATCAATGTGTTATTCTATTGTATAGTATATATTGTGCAATGAAACAATTAGGTTGATTATATCCAACGATAATGAAAAATTATTTTCGTCTATTACTCAAATTCATACTTGTACGATCAAATGATTAAATGTGCGTAAAAATAATGTTTTGTAAAACTCTCGATACTGTTGTTAAATATATTATAACCAGTCACTTAAACCAGTAATCAATTAATCAATAAATAAGTTTTAATTTTTAAGTATTTTTGTGTGTAGATTGTTTATGTCGATGTTGATGGAATTAAATTGAAAAATAATATTTTTATATCTGAAGATAGGAAAATTTAAATACAAGCACAATTGGTACACTGACCCTAAAAAAAATTTGTTTTAGGCACAATTGGTCCATGCTGTTCCGGAATCTAGAGCGTCCGGCTACCTGCAGGTATTTAAATCAATCATTACCTAGGTGAGTGAAATTCTATTTAAAAAACTTTGCATAGTATTAAAATTATACGTTTTAACGTAATTTGAGAAAACTGTGTCTATATATTATTATAAATTATATTACTAATTTTTATAATGAATAAATTATTGAAATATATTAATAATTTATATACCTTTAGGTTGAATAGTGCTTCTTGGAAAGGTTTGAACATGAGTTCATATCGAGTCTTTGTCAAATTATATACCAGTGAACTAGAACAGGTAAACACTCTGATAACTTCGGATCCGTTTTTCATTATGTTGTTTAAAGGGCCGGCCATAACGTACGCAAATACCATGGTCACCAATACGCGTTGGCCAGACTTATCACAGAACGTCGGCATTGCTAAAAGTCCCAAACACCGTACCTGTGCAATGGGTTAACATATTATTTATAATTTAATACGGTTTTAACAGCTGTCTGGTAACATCGCATTTTTTATTATTATTATTTACATTTGAATAAAAATATCGTTATTTATTTCTGAGATAAAATTATTCCTAAAACACAAAACACAATGTTTTCAATGAATTTTTATTTCATAACTATTTATAGAAACCAACAGGTGGTAAACAGCAGTCGCCGTTATTTTTTTCACACTGTTAGCTTTTTAAATAGTGACATATAATTAATGTGAAAGCTGTGAATGAATATTTACTTTGTCGTAAAAAAATTAATTGATATTAAAAATGTCCATAAATATATCAGTTATTGAAAGTGCTCAGATTCTCTAAAGCTAAAATAAGCCCAGCACCTACAACTTATTTGTACTCATTACTCAATTATATTTGAAATCAAAAACTTATTGGTAAAATAAATTTAGATAATTTCACTTCAGTAATTTCGAAGTTATCGCGAAATAATGAATACAGTATGTAAAAAATGATCAAATATATATTTAAACAACATAATAAAATTACAGAAAATGTTGAAGCTTAAAAGTATTGCTAGGTCAAATATATGCGTTGGTACAATTGAAACTTAATAAATGAGGATAATTTATGACTAATAAATTAATATGGTACTTTCCATTATTTAGAAAAAATCAAAAATTATGAATCTGTTCTTCATGGCAAAATTAATTAGTTTTATCATTATAAATATAATTAAAATTAAACATAGTAAAAGAGCGATTTAAAAACGATTTTTTAATTATATACAACGAATTAAAATTAATAAGATTAATTACTAAAACAGAGTAAATAAGTAAATACTAAAAAAGTTGATTTTAAATTTTTATTTTAGATTTTTAACGGAGTGATGAATGTATTTTATTGTTAACTATTAATAGTTTATAATTATTTAAAAAGTTAATTTATAATATTTTTCTAAGTTTTTAGTATATAATATTAACCATATTTAATAGTTTTAAGTGTATTAAAAAAGTGATTTTTTGTTCTACGAAATATGATATGAAGTACAGAAGTGTTTAATACAATATAACTTTATGAAATATTTGTCTTATGTTTCGAGAAGAAATTTTTTTTTTTATTTAATCTAGTACGGTAAAAGTTTTTATTTTGTATTGTAATACAAAGAGATAAAAAATGTTTTATATTTTATTACTTATTATAAATTATAATAGCTTGAGACAGCATATTTTATTTAAATAAAATATTAAATCAAAACAGATAAAAATTATAATTTAATCAGATGATTTTTCGTTTAATCTAAAATTGCTGCAGCCAGCGTATTGAATATAAAAACAAATTTTAGTCTTTAATGTGCAAGAAAAATCGACCAGTACACTTATTTCTACATTAATACATTCATGTAAGGATGTAGTTTAAATTTAACATTATTTATTTAATTTTTTAAAATAATTACTATGTGATTTCAGATTTGTTAGCATTTTTAAATACATATTGGTAATTTGGGTAAGTTTAGCTATTTTTATTTATCTATAAAAGTTTATATCATGTTTAATACTTGATTAAAAATAGACGTGGATTGTTATTTTTTAGTTTTTGGCCGTGTTTAACGTTGTTTAGGATCTGGTACTTGATTTTAAAGATTTGTAAACATAAATTCAAAATGTATTATTCATTTTTCTCATCATTACTCTTAAAAATGAAGTTTGTCGTACTTCATATAGACTCTTCCGGTAGTAGATACCGGAACAAATAATACATTTGTATGCACAATTATGATATTGTGTATGCTTTCAGGAAATGTGTATTAAAATTAAAAAATATTATGGGTTACAAAAGAATACTTTTGTATCTTATGATTCGTATTAGTTATACCGATGGTAGTATTTTACGTTTTTTAATTGATTTTTTTTTTTTAATTATTTGTTCAAAACAGAATAAAATTATTTTTATGTATTAAAAAAAATAAATAAAATATATTCACATAACTATGCAAATATCCGTGAGCTTAAGTACTATATTAGTACATTATATTTGCAATAAAATTGCGCACTAAAGTTATAGTATTTATTATTGGTGTATGATGGCTTACATTCTATAGGAGCTTCAGGAATATATTTTTTGAATTTTTGTTACAAGTGGATTGTCTTCTTATGACTGTTATTACGTGGTCGTTATTGAGTAAACGTCAGTTATTAAAATTTGTGACAAAACGTCGTTATGTTTGCATAGAAAAATAAATTGTGTTTCTCAACAATGTTAATCATTTGATTTGATAAAGCGTGTATTTTTTATTTTTTTATATCTTTACCTGTTTGTAAGGCAAAATTCATCTTGGATTATTTATTTTTACGACACGTGTCACATTTTATTATTAAATAAACATGCAAACTATTGATCAGTAGAATGTAGTATTTCAACTACAAGACTATATTATGTAGGTTCGAACTAAGTTAGAATATACTGAAAACCATACATATATGTATATACATATATTGTGTAGTAAACAGAAATTTCTGTGGCACCCATTCAGAACGTTACAAGAGTAAAATATTCTCTATATTCTTTTGGTCCGATTTATTCAAAGTCACAGATTTTTTCACTTTAAATGTAAAATTCACGGTATTAAAATAATATGTTGTTTTATTTTATATTGCCCCCAAACATAGATCTGCTGTTAACAACTTTTAAAAGCGATTATACATTAATCGAATATTATACCTGCTATAATACTAGCATACTTTGTCAGCGTGTAGAAATTATAATTATATATTTTTATATAGGTATGAATCTATCTAAACTTGAATATATATGATTTTAGTTTATTAAGTCACAACATTTTAGACTACTAACAACGCATACACAATTACTAGTTAGGCTTAAACAGTTTATTCGAACTAAATATTTTTTAAGTACAAAAAATATAAAATGATTTTTTTCTACGTGAGATAACTACTCATTTTTTATGCAGCTTTTGTGATTTTAAAAATAAAAATATTTCATAAATTTCATAATATGGCCACATAATTCTCTTCTATTTTTTTTTTTTATCAACTACTCAATGCATTTGATATTTAGCATCATATTGTATAGTGAATATTATATTGAATATTAAACTAATAAGTTGATATTTATAAGTATTAAAAAAAAAAAAAAATAGACAAGAGCAGTAGTTTATTAACATTTCGACTTTGCTTACATGCATCTTTTATCTTTAAATTGTAATTGACTATAAATAATTAAATATATTTAGTTCTATATTTATTTTCATATTAACATGTATATTTCGATTTCAAATATGAAATTAAATAATATATGATAGTATATAGTTTAGTGTAGGTTGCTAATTATTTGTATCCATGAAAATATAAAAATCACTATGATATAAAATATTTATTTTTTTTGTTACAATGTAAAGCACGTATAATATTATTAAATTGTTAAGTAATCAAACCCATAAAATAATATGTATTCAAATGTTTTTTAAATTAAATTATCAAAGTACTAACTATTCAATAAACGGTGTTGTACTATAAAAGGCTCGTTAAAATTTTATAATAATACATATTATAGTTAAATAATTGATTTGATTTATCATAAATTGAGAAAGTTAAGTTTTTAATAATGAAAACATATGTCATGTTTTTAAAAATTTTGAGTAATGTACTTGTGATATTTTCAAAGTAACATATAAGGTGTATCTATTATTATTATTATTATTATTATTAATTATATTATATCGAGAATATTGTTATTATAAATGTCAATATATTAAATGTTTAAGTCCACGCGTTGTCTGAAAATAGTCGATTACAAACAATTATATTAATTTGAAGTGTATCGATTTACCTGTTGTGATATTGCGTGGCCGATGCTCAAAAATAGACCGATTATAATGCCCATTAGATGAGTGGTCTGTTCAGTAAATTCTAAATCGACAATAACAAAGTGGTAGAGAACTGAAAAATATAATAAAAGTACACATTCAACAAAAAAATAAAAAATAAGCTTCACTTACTCAGGCTCAGAAAAAATCCGTAGAAGAAACCCAAAATCAACTTGGACTTTCTGAACTTTTTACTACGGCGGTCAGCTGTTTAAAAAATGAGATCAGATTTAATGCTTAATTATTAATTATAATATATATAATATATATATATATCAAATAATAGTAATAATTATAATAATACATTACCGAAAGAGTTGAAAAGTTAAGTCGTGTTTCGAAATACTGTGCATGTTGCACAGAACGACTAATTTTTTTATAAGAGCATTATTAGACAATGATTAGTAAGACGGTTGTGGCGAGAATAATTTCAAATGAAAAATACTACATTTTTGGCAAACAATAAAAGAATATTATTTAATTATGGTTTTAAGACTATGATCATAATATGATGTAATCGTGTGGTTTTTACAGTGAAATCATTAAACAAAAAATGCAATTTCCTACAATTTTGATGTAAAATGTTCAAAATTATCAATAATGATTTGAGATTCTTCTCACAACTTCACACACCACTGGTTTTTTAGTTAATACATTTTTTTTTAACGGTATTAGCACAGAGTAAAAGTGAAAATTATATACTTATAAGGTATAAATATTAAATATTTTTACTGTGGAACTACACTTTTTTTAAATTAAAAAATGACAAATTTTACATTATTATATACTTACTTAATATTATCCATCTTAAATTCAGAAACTTTTAAAACGTTATTGACTTTTAGTACGAATTTGCTGGGATTTAATATTATTAGAGTATATTTGAAAATAGATTTTGTCTGTTGTTATTTATAATCAAGTATTGTCTCTGAAAATATTTGATAAAAAAATTGTGGTTTTTAGAAAGAAAGTTCAGGAGTTTATGACCCACGATTTATCGAAAATACAATCGAATTATATAATTAGTTTCAGACAAAGTTTTCATTTCTATATATGATATATAATATCTTAGGCCTTTTGTATATATTTTATATATATAGGTATATAAATATAATAAAATATTAAATTAAGTTCTTTGAGATAGAGATACCGTAAAAGTTTTATAGAAATCAGAAAAATCTTTTTATCAAATTAATTCTTTATTTTATTAATTGTAAATACATGCAGGTAGTTTTTAATTATAGTTTTTTTGTAAATGAGCGAACGGAACTATATGTATTATAATATACGATCTAATAAAAATAGTTTTTTTTTTTATCTTTTTAAGCAGCATAATTTGTACGGACATTAAACGTACTAAGTTGAGAGTCTGAAGCTTGGGCTTAAAAAAGAAAAAAATTGAAAAATTTGTAACCATCGAGGTGCAAAGAGAATTTGTGAGAAATGAGCATATCTTATTAATTGGAAACAAAAATATCTTATAACTTACGATATGTATATATTTTCGTTTTTCTCGTATTTTTTATTCTTAAAGTATGTTCGTATGAATACTACAATATATAAATATTCCTAGTTACACAATATTTGAATTATAATATTTCGTATATGAAACATGTTTTATGGGTTCATTATATCGTTTATTATGCAATTGAAAATTTGACTTATTATTTTCAATAAATTGAATTCATATTGGTACCTATTACCTACACTGTTGTAACGTTAACTGATATTATTACTATTTTATGTTTCACAGGAGGTGGGGTAATAGAATTTCCATGTAACGCGTGTTCACAGGATATGACGTAGTGTATAGGCTTACAATCGCAATGTGCATATAATCTGAGTGAATAAAATAATTTGTATTTTACGTTCTCAATAGTAAAACCATATGTCTCTATATTCATGAAATTAATGAACTCAGATATCAGGGGATTATTCATTGCTTGTTATAGAATGGATTTATGGTTGGTAAATCGTTAAGGATGAAAAAATTCTGCAATTTTGTAGACGTAAACAAATCGTACAAATTTTGGAGGTATCGCAAATATTAATGAATACCTAGGTATATACTTTATAATATACTTAAAATGATATCGTTATGTTATTATTTAGCTACGAGTACAATAAAATATATGATGATATATATAAAATTATTATCTTTATGTTCAGATATTGCATGTTTTTTTATCTAAATTATCAGTGGTGTAAATAAAAGGAATTAAAAGGAGCAGTCGCTTTTGGGGATTATATGCTCAGGGGCGTAACATGTTTGGATAAATTTAAGAATACACTTTAGAGCGTGCAATGAAAAGCATATTTGAGCGTAAACTATAATAATTTGAAAATAAATAGCATTTTAAGAAAAATACTACAAAATTAAGAAAAATAAAAGTCTGTACGAAAATGTTGAAAAGTTACTTAATTGAATTGAATGATTGAATTCTATAAAAAAATTGGACAAGGTTTTGTGGCTAAAAGAATAAATGAAAAATATCGCTAATTTTTTCCAATTTTAAGTATAATTAATAATATCCCTATACTAATAAAAGTACAAACAAATTTTTCGAATTCTATTAATTATACTATTCCTCTTATGTTTGAGAGGGTGGCGGGGTTACATCAGAAATATACATTTTTTAAACTATTAGTTAAAAAAAAGTTGAATTTTTTTTTAATTTTGATAATACGTGATCGAAAAACTATGTATTTTATACTATATACAGTATATACGTTATTATTAAGGCTAGGGACTTATAGAAGGTTGTACGTTTTTAAATTATCATTCAAAACATATCTAAGTAATATAGAAGTTTGTTTCTTAGTACTAGGAGTTAAAAGCAATAATTTTTATTTTGCATATTCATCTATTTTTTTCCTTTTTAGTGCATATTTATTATATTTGTATTTTATGTATAATGTATTTCACATATTTTATTTAAAAAAAAAATAAGACACTATGGGATATAGAGAATAATGTTTAAACGTACTATACAATACTTAACGTTAATTTTCTAGAAATTCAAAAAATAGATTTAATATAAATAATTAAATGATCTATCTACTGTGTGTTTTCTCAATTATTTACATGTTGTGAAAAAAATAATCGGTCGATAAAGAATACGTCGAATACGCTCAGTTGATGTCAATTTGTCTGTTAATGTTGTATGTGTTTTCGTCTGGCGTTAATATAGTTAATGTAATATTTAATATTAAGTATAATTTTTGAAAATTTAATTAAAAACGTCTTACTTCATACTAAATAAATCTATAGTTTTTGATTTTTTAATGAAAAATAAAATAATTTTAAGAGCATATTTTAGCATTTTTGTATATTTTTAGAGCATGAAATCCCTAATTTTAGTTATTAACGAATCATAATTGTCAGCCGGATATTCGTAAAATACTATAAACAAATAAAAAATAACTACATTTATTTCTATAGTAAAGATATAATATAATATTATTAGTGGAAACTATTTTTATGAGCCATAAAGTTCTAATATAGATACAGGTTAGATGGGTATTTACTAAGAGTTTTAGTTCAAATTTTAAACTGATACCACTTAGCCACTGTGTTTTCATATATATTTGTCAACAGGAAACACGAGGAAAACACTGATGCATAACAATCATATTATTATCATTTTATGTGTTGCGTTCTCTACTCATTATATTTCAGACAAACCGCGAAAAATACATCTCTCATTCGGTCAAGCGTCAAGCGTCAATCGTCATCGCATTCGTACATTGTTGTCGACATTATGTATATTTTATATTATCATATACGCACTACAGGTGCGTTATGTATTAGGAGTGACGAGGTGTGTGTGTTGAGTGTGTGACATAGAAAAAAACACATAGTTGAAATTGCATTTACAGCAAGTAGTTTAAGATGGTTACCTTAAGAATGCATGACGCGCGCCATCTGTCAAAATTAATATTTATGATAACTCGTTTTATAATATGATACGTGTGTGTGGTTTGAAAAACTTCGTCGCACATCATATCCGTCGGAACAAAAACAGCAGCAACTATGGCGATTGCACATAAAAGGAAATTACAATAATATATTATGATTAGTATTATTATTCGAACTGCGAACCGCGAATACGCGTCATGTGGGTTGGTGCTATTTTTCTCTCTCAGACTTCTGGTTCGATGAATATCATTAAAACATTATAATTTAGTCATAGGTAGAAATTTACCGCCATAGTTACCTATTATACGTTTATGTTGTACTATCCGAATTCCGAGTACACGCTAAATTATGTTGCAGACGATTCCTCTACACAGGTAAAAGGGCGCGCGTCATACCGTATTAAAGTAATAAGTGATATTGAATTGTTAGTAGGTACTTATGCGATATTTGGCAGTTAATCAAATTTCACGTTGTCCAAAATCGTTATCTGCCATCGCCGTGACGTAGTCGGATGCACATTGTAGAGGAGCGGATGTCACGGAAATGTGACGCGAAGAATTATTACGTTACAATAAATCGTCGTCATGAATCGGAGTTATATACGTAATAATACCATTACGAACGGTAATGATAATGTCATTACTAACAATTCAATCACGCAACACAGGAATAAACATAACATTCATTTAGATTCCGCAGGATACAGCAATATTGAAGGGAATGCCAAGAAGCCAAAAGAGCATTGGAACTTACTAATACATCACTCATTCAGATTAAAACTTAAATGTACCTATATAAAAAATTCAAATTCAAGACATTATCAAAATAAAATTGAAAATAAACCAGCATTAAAACAAATCAAAAGAATAATACTGTACGATTGGCAAAACCAAGAATTTAAAATAAAATTAAAAGAAAAAAATAGTATTTAATAATAACTAAGAATTGGACACACTATAGGTAGAATGAAACTTTTTATGTTTCCTATATGTTGTATTCACGAAAAAAAAAAAATCCACCTAGATATATGCGATATGCGAAACCTGTGCAGAAATCCTAACGGCGGAACTCGTTTTATTGATGGAATGTCACAAGTACAAAAAAGAGTCTGATGAATACGACCCAACACTTTTAGATGCAGTGTTAGGAACCAAGCCTGGAGACAACATTAATTAATCACTCTATTCTCGAAAAAAACCAAACTATATATTGTATAATGTAATAAAAAAAAAAAACTAGTTAAGTAAAAACTCTGTATATGTCATAACCTATGCATCCAAAGTTTATTTTATATGAATAAAAAAAAATAATAATAATCGGGGGATGTTGATGGATTCACGGCGGACATACGTAATATTACACTAAAACGACAAACGAATTAGTCACGCCGAATATCATAGACATTTTACTACTCAGGTAGACTATTGATTGCGGGTAGGCAAAGTGTTTGTGCATGGTCCGACGATAGACATGTTCTTTAATGTTATCCTCGCTTAGCATTACCCCGATACGGCCAACCGCGTATACTTAAAAAGCAAACCGAATATTATACAATATAGGTAAGCACGTCATAATATTATAATAATATCATTATAAACGACACGAGCTTGTCAGCGTCCGCGCGAACCTCGGAAGCTGGGTACGCTGTACGGCGTTCGTCATACTGATATTATCGCGGGCGCGTGAGCGTTGCAGGTAGGTACTTGCCCAGTAAGTCATTGAGGAACTCGCGGAAAAATCCACCGGAAGTCCGTCGTTTGGCGGCGATTTTTTTGTATTTCATGACGCCGATCTTTCGGACTGGGCGCGACGTAGGCCCGCGCGTAGGAAGGAGCAGAGGGTGCTCACGAGTGGACGAAATAGGTAGAGGTATTATATCTCTTTTTACCGCGCACTAGATCACAAAATAACAGTATAATATTGCCGTGTCATACGGTTAACTAGAACATCGTACATTTTGTGTCGGATGTGCCGTTGAACAGAAGAATAAGTAAAAGCGACCGGACGTGTCGTGGCAACCAATGCGTCGGTCGCATTTGTTTATTATTAAAACATAATGTACGATATTATTGCGTATTGCCCACGTGATAATAATATCAGGCGCGTACAATAATATTATACTAATATATACACAAACTGCCGTGCCGCCATCGTTACGATAATAATCGTATTCGTCGTCCGACGCCGTCGGTGGCAGCACTGCCACACCGCCGCCCGGCGTAATGAAGACCCATAAGCACGTCGTTCCCACAGCAACCGTCGGCAGAACGCTACTTAAAGTTCAGCTCTCCGGTGCGTGGTGTCCGCCGAGACCGTACCCGACTGCTGTTCCGTGCCAACACGTTTTTCTAAGTTCACGTTCGAGACACGGCGGCCGTTACTTCAGCAGGTAACTGATAATGTTTTCCAATAATTTTTTTTTTTTTTTTTTATTCTTACGTTGCATTTGCATAATAAAAACGCTATATAGTGTTTATCATTAGTCTCACGCGTAATTATTAAGAATATTATGATAAAATTATTTATTATAATTATTATTATTTTTTTTTTTTTTTAATCGTTTTTTGTCCGATTTTTCTTGCTGTAATCTGTAGTCTTATTGCAGTCTGCCAACAACAAGAACTAACCCATCGGTTACTTTAAATCATGATGTGTACGCACTAGACCTGAACTTTATAATTATATATAGTTTAATCGTTTTCCGTGCACGTATGGTAGTAAAAAAAAAAAAAAAAAAATTAAATAAAATTCACGAAACAATATTTTATTGTATACATACTTACGTCATGAAAACGTGATAAATAACCCCCTCCAACCGTTCGCCGCGCAGTTGATTTTCCGTCAGGGGACCTTTGAGAGTAACACAGTTAACGTGTTTCGACTATGGTTGTTCGCGCAAGTTATCGAGTGCGATAACTTCAAATAGATATTAATGCCGCCCTAATCGCGACTCCTCTCTTCTGGGGTCGATGGCCCTATTATGTGCTATTTTAAAATCGATTGCCCGACAGTAAAAACGAATTAGTAGATCAACGGCCCTAACAATCACGTATCTTTACGGAATTATAACCGCCGTAAAGATTACGTATAGATATTGCCCTATCTCAGGTGATATAGGGTCATTGGCCACTAATTTCGAATAGCATATTTTTTGGTGTTGTCGGAGACACCGGCAAAAGGAATAGTGTCTCCTCGGTGCGACGCCTTCGTGGTAACAAGTTGTCGGCACGTTGCCGCCTCAGACCGTCTTGTGAACAGTGTCCAAGTATCCAAGTGTGCGCCCGTTTTAGATTTTCACCTTCGCATAGGTCGGTTTTCTTGTGTTTGAAATCAAAACGGTTACACCTCTCACGTTCCGAACCGTATATATATATATCGTTGTCGCGATCTCCGCACTTCGTTAAACTTAAATATATATATATACATTGTATTACGGTCTTAGTTGGGTACTGATCCGTATTTATATATATATATTGTTGTCGCGATCTCCGCGCTTCGTTAAACTTAAATATATATATATATACATTGGTTGGTGATCTTAGTTTGGTATTGATCCGTATATTTATATATCGTTGTTGCGACATCCGCACTCTGCTAAACTTAAATATATATATATACATTGCCTTGCGGTCTTCGTCTAAAATTGAGGCTGTGTCGTTCCGATCGTCGCTAAATTAATATAACATTACAACGCGACTTCCGTTGTGTACCGATCGGTCGACGTGTGTGAATTACAAGTGTGGTCTACTATCAGATCTTATTATCATTGTTTTGGTTGCCTGTTGTTATACCGTCGTGCTCAAGACGAAACAGCTGACCAGTGGCCTGACTGTCGCCGTCAATTGGTCACCTGCCAACGACAACATCGGCATAGGAACGGAGTCAATGTAAATGCTGTCATTATTTCTCATATCTATATCGTATATTATGCTACAAATTGCACCACGAATTGTTTAGATCGTGTTTGGTCAGATATTATTATTATTATTTGCTACTTATTCTTATTATTATTATTATCAATTAATGACGAAAATGGACAGATATCTGTTAGTCTATTATCAATCATTGTATAAACTGTCAACACTTCGTCGTTGGTGATACGTTAATTTATACGTTGTCATATTATAATTGTGTAATCCATACTTTACATACAACTCGAATGTTTATATTTTGTATGGTCACCTCTCTTTAAGCAATTCTCCAGGTTTATTCCAAGTTCATCTTTCGGTGGTGTAGTCATCGAGGCCGACCACAGATTCGTAGGAGCCTCGTGGCTAAACAATGGTATTATATAATAAATTGTGTCATCGAAACGCTACTGAAGTTCGAAAAGAATATTGTGTACGTGTTTTTCGGCTTGTATGCATAATAATCATGGACTGGTAAAAAATATAGCCTGTTTTATATAATTTATTCGTTCGAGAAGAACGCTATCGTTATTTTTTAATCCAACCAATTGTAATGTGAAATGTAATGTTAGTTTGGGACTTGAACGATAAAACCACGAATATATTATTATGCATGTATTATAGCGGGGATATTAACGGAATTCGCTTTTCATTCATTTTTTACAAAAGTTTTTGAGCGTTAGGTATTTATAATATTAATTTACAAACAAACGTTTGTGAATGACCGAATCATGTTTAAGGGACAGTTAGCATAATTTCTTTCTAGGTCGGACTTTCTACACTATTGTTTTAAAATATGTGGATGCAGAAAAATATAATTTGAATTATTTTTCTTGTAAGACTATATTTAATTTACTAGTGCTATTTAAAATGTTAACATTATCTATGAATTATTAAAAGGAAAAAACCATAATATTATCATTATTTTTTTTTACTATTATTCAAATTTAAGATTTTGTAAATTTATTTTAAAACAAGTATTTTTGTTTTAAGCTATTAAGCTTTAAGTATGATAATTATTATGTTTTTAAGTTTTATTAAATACTTATTTTATTATCATAGTAAATTTATCAAAAATTAAAATTAAATTTTTTTGAACATATTTATATGATGTTTGGGAGAAACGAAAAGTCGTTGAAACCATTAAATTGTTTTTTAAATATTACGTATTTATTGTTTATTGAACTTTGGTTCAATTCAAAGAGTAACATGCGGTTAATAAGAATATAAAAATAATAACATATGGAATTGAATAAATATTTATAATTTTATTTTCCTAACGTTTGATATTTTTCCGACACTGTGTAAATTATATACACATCTGGAAAGTCTAAACTCAATGCATTTGATATAAATAAAAAATTTCCAGTTTTAATTTTTTCAAACAGTTTGTTAAAATTTAACATATGTAATAAAGTGCAATTAATGATATGTATAATTTATTATACTAATCAACTATAGATACACTTATAAAAATATAGTACTGGTATATGAATATACTGATTTTATAAAAACAACATATTTTTCTAAAATGATTTGAAAGTGTAAACTTTAACTATTTAAAAAAATTAATTGGTAGGTAATATTAATTGCACTGGTAGCTGATATGCGTGTGCTCTATAAAATATCATTAGGTATTTTATCTCCAAATAATTTATATGTATTGTCAATATATTTTTGAACTAGATCAACAATGTTGAATTTAGGCTGTTCAATGTTAAATATTAAAACATATAAACTCAAGTCGAAATTTAAATTATTTGGGCTACGATCAAGAATTATTCGATTTAAAGTTTAAACTAATACTCAATTGACCTGGTTATAAAGGTACTATATGCATTTTATATTACAAATGGTTATTACGTAATAAAAACTTCTAATACACCAGCCTGAGGTTTCAATTCCTATAGTATGAAAATATTATTAATTTGAGATTTTTTTTATCTTTATTCATCTTTATTAGCATATTTAAGAATAAAAAATAATATAAACAATATTTATATACTGAGAGACTATATTAATTTATATTGTATTATTGATTGTAATTGACGATAAATGTTATATTTAAAATAACAAAAATATAAATTAAATTATAAAATAGTAAATATAAATGTAAAAGTTACATAGACATATTTTAAATCTAAAACTGATAAACAATTATAAAATAAACAATTAACATAAATTATATGTTTTAAAATAATTCTGGAATGAAATATATTTTAAAATAAATAAAATTATTTATTGAGGTAAAGTATTTAATTCTTATAATTTTCATCTCATTTATTTTTAAGTACTAGAAGTTGAATGTTCATTGACAAATATATTATTCTAGTTAAACTCTTTTACTTTTTATGAATATTCAATTTTATAATCAATATTATATGCTATATTAACACATAGGTTAGTTAAAAAAAATAACTTAAATGTTATATTATAGTAAATGCCTTTAACAATGCAAAATTATACGGTGTAATAATACGTTTACAACAATAGTGATAATTTAAGCTATGATATGACATATTATTATAACGAAACATATTATAACATATTATTATAAGAAAACATGTTTTTGTTTCAATATTTGTTAAATATTATGAATTTTAAGTAAATACATGTTTCATTACGCTATCATAATAATAACCTGCACAGATTTATAACAATTTTTATTATTAATAAAATCTATAGTTTGTCTTAACCGAATTTAACGTATACAAATACGTAAAATAAGTATTTTAAAAATATAAATGTCTATTATACATATAAATGCGAATTAGTATCATTTATGTTTTTAAAATTTGAATAGATATTTCTGTTAATACTCTATAGAATTATAAAATGTATACCTAACTGGGTTCAAATTTTCATCATTCTTACCTAAAGCATTATATTACGATGTATTATACTTCATAAAATAAATACTCATAAATTTAAACCTTATTAATGATTTCGAGAAAAGTTGTTTGAAAAATAAAATCGTTGATTTAGGTGTTGAGTGGTTATGTTGTGATTATTATATTAAGTGTTATAAAGTGTACTACCATTGAGTACCTATGTATACAATTTATATTATTCAATAGTATTCATTTGTGTGATCTTCATTGGTAAACGTAAATTAATCTAAAATTGTATTCATTGTTATCAGGGTTTGCATTTGAAAAAAAAAGTTGTGTTATACGTTATTCAGAATTAAAACGTTATTCAAATTTTGTGTTTATCGTTATACAGAATTAAAATTTTTAGTATATTTTATAAATTACAACTATTAAATAATTAGAAATAAACTATTTCATTTAATGATGTACTTTATATTACGTTTTGTGTTATGTTTTGTTTGATGGTATTTCATATATTTTGTTAATCGTTATGTTTTGTTTTGTGTAATTTAACTATTTATGTTTATCGTTTTCCGTTATAATTACGTTTACAAATTTTAATCATTTTTTGTTAAATTTAACGTTACTATAACGTTTTCAAGCCCTGA